CACCTCCCCCCTCATTATGTACAATTTGCCTGTAAGCCCCCCTCCCCCCCCCATCCTCCCAACTTACAGTCTGGAGGAGCAGTGCTGTGCTCTGCCCTTCCTCCTGTCAGAACAGAGCTGCTCCATATAGCGGATGACACAGGATCGCTCTGACCATGGGGCTGTACACAGTTTCATTACCCGCCCCTATCTACATTTACTGCTGTGGGAGATAAGGGGTCCTTGGAGGAGATAGGGGCAGGTATTGAAACTATGTACAGTCCGATGGACGGAGCGATCCTGTGTCATCAGCTATATGGAGCAGCACTGTTCTGACAGGAGGAGGGGGCAGAGCACAGAACCGGTACTCCTTGCTCTCTCATCACTTTCTGGACTCAACTGCTCCAGGCTCCCTTTCCGTTGTCCCGGCTCTGAGTGTGGGGATGGGGGGGGGGGGGGGGGGGGAAGGAGCTCAGCAGTCTGGGGGGGCACAACTGAAATCTGGAGGGGCGCAGCCCACCCCAACAACCCCTTAGATCCGGCCATGCTTTAGCCTTGCCCCCATTCCTGCACAGAAGTTTGAATGACAGCAGCAGGAGCCTATGGCTCCCGATGCTCTCAGTGTCTGCTGTGAAATCAGGAAGTAAGAGAAGTGGTGCTGCAGCTGGGAAAGCGCTGGAGCAGAGGGAGGAGTCTGGTAAGCATTTAAGGATGGGGGGAGTAGAACAGGGAGTAGGGCATTGTTTCCCTTAATGCAGGGAATGCATCAAAGGAGAAGTATAGCCAAAATTCTTTTCTATACTTCTGGGGAGCGCAAGAGTCAGCTGACTTCACAGAGGCACCTGGCTCAGCTTCTCAGCCAGCCGCTAAGAGCCAGAGCCAGCCGCTCCTGTCCCCTCCACACCCCGGTACCACAGTGAGCGCTGGAGGGGCAGAGCAGAGAGCGAGTAACTGAAAGTTACTCGCTCTCTGCTCATGGAATACTGAGATCTGAGTGATCAGTGGTCTTTGATAGCTCAGTTCTCAATCTTAGAGCCAGTGAGGGACTGATGCTGTATCCACCTAGGTGAGTATAATTTGTTTTTTGTTAACCGATACTTTTCTTTAAAAAAAACATTGTGAGCTTAGAACCACTTTAACCACCTCCAGTCCGGCCGTGTATATAAACGGCCGGACGGTGGCACTGCAGGGTCAGGTGGCCATTTATAAACGGCCTCTCCGCACCCTGCTTGTGCACGCTCCCTGGGAGCGCGCAGCACCGCGATCCGGTGCCCGCTGTGTCCTCCGGACACAGTGAAACACCGATCATCGGACAGGACCTCTGTATGAGGTCCCGATCATGTGATCACTGATTGGCCAATCAGTGATCACATGCAAAGTAGTAAGCAAGATGTCACTTGTGACATCATTGCTTACTACGTGTGAAATCTGTGAATGATCACAGAGGTCACATGGTACAAGGTATTCACAACAGCCTTGTACCATGTGACAAGCTGTGACCAATCACAGCTCACTCAGTAGTTCTCAATGGCTGCAAGAATGCAGACAGAGAGAAAGAGAAATGATGCTTTTACATCCTATATGGGCTTTTACATCCTATATGGGTGTAAAAGCAATCAGTGTAGAAAAAAAAAAAATCTACATCACCCCCCACAAGTAGTACAGTGTCACTATGGTGACACTTTACTGCTAGGGTGACAGTATGTAAAAAAAAAAAAAAAAAAATAAAATAAATGTTTAAAAAAATTATAATTTTTGGTTATAAACTAATTTGGCTTATTTTTTTTTTTACTAAAAAGATAACGGTATACATTTTGGCCAAGATTTATGATGAAATATTATTTATTTGAAAAATTTTATAAGAAAAACACTTTTTTTCTAAATTTTTGGACTTTCATTTACATAGCAAAAAAAATTAAAATCCCAGAATAAATACCACCAAAATAAAGCTTTATCTGTCTCAAAGAAAGGGTAAAAAATTCATATGGGTACAGTGTTGCATGACCGCGCAATTGTCATTCAAAGTGTGATAGCGCTGAAAGCTGAAAATTGCCCTGGACAGGAAGGGGGTAAAAGTGTCCGGACAGGAAGTGGTTAGTTTCTCTGAACCCTCTATAACTGCTAAGTTTGTCTGGACAGCTTGGTCTGTTAATGTTAATTGAAAGAGAACAAACTTACTGGCCGGATTACCAGGTGAAAAAAAAAGGAACAAAGTCTAAAAAAAAGGAATACAAATGCAGTCACCACATCTATAAATTGGTAAGTTGCAATTGAATAAGTTTTTGTTGTGGCTTTAATACTGCTTTAACTTTAGACACCAATATCCATTATTTGTTTTATGTAAGATAAATATGGCACTCCCTAATTTCGGCCAATGTGTTATGTGTTCTTCAGCCAGTTCCCAATTAACTGTTTGAAACTTTATTAGTTGGTGGCCCTGTCAGCCCCACTCCACCCAACACCACCCAATATCCATTTAGATGCAGACACTGTGGGTATTCTAACAGCCAGTGGCAACAGCTCTCACGATATAATAGCCGCATCAGGAGATTCATTAATCCACACTCGGTTTAGAGTGGATGGAAGAATTTGTTAGATTGCTTTCTTTCAGCCCACAGCCTGAGCAAAAAAAAAATCTACAGGCATATGGCCTGCTTAATTGGTCACGTCAACACTCATTATGCAGACTTGATTCACTGTTGTCACCATCAGGGAACTCACCTGAGGAAAGCAGAAAAGCAGTTTCTGGAGTGCATGCATGTGTACAGGAACTGGCTACAAAGAGGCTGCAGGGGACAAGCAGAAGCAACAACGGATTAAAACAAATCAGAAGTATATTATTCAATATAATGTCATTTGCTTATGATACACAGTACTTTAACAATCCAAATATTAATGTAGGGATTCTGCTTTCACACTTTAGTGCTAGCCCTCTACTAGGTAAACTCTACCTATAGTAACCTGTATCCAATCCTTTATAACCAGATTACAAAGCACTATGCATATTTTCCTGGCAAGGAAGGGAAAAGTCTGTTTTGGGGTACAAACCTTAATCTGTTAACTGGCAGGAACAATTTGGTAAAGTATCAAATATATATAAAGTGCATTTGTGGCCTATTCATTCAGGTGGAAAGTTGTACTATAGAAGTTGTGGCTTGCTTGATTCTCCATACATACACACACAAATACACAGATACAATAAAAGGTGCTAGTAAGTTGATGTAGCACCCTCCTAGTGGAGGATGCTAGGCACATTTAGTTTGGCTTGCTCTGTAATCAGAGGAGTAGTGATTGATCGCTTGGGTCTGCTCATGGTTTCAGAGGCTGAGACTTTGTTTATCCCCCCCTGCCTCTGAGCTTAGACAGAAAAATGTCCAGCCTGAATATATTTACTATGCCCTGGCCAGTCACTAGGGAAGTGTGCCCAGAAAGCTGTCGGAGAGTGGGTAAATAGGCTGGAGCCTGTGCAGACTTGTCTCTTCCCCATCAGAGTTGGATCAGTGAGCTTCGGGGGGATTTTTGCCACCAAGACACATTTTGGACTGAATGCTGGACTACTCTCCAAGGAACTGAACCTATAGACTTATCCTACATCAGGATTTGTGAGTAGAGCCTTTATCTATGACGCAAACTATTTCATGGTCCTCAGCCCTGAAGCTACAGACTGCTTCAGTTTGCTAAACTACCTCATGGTTCTCAGTTATGAGAAATAGACTGTCACTTTGCTGCTACTAAGAGAAGAGTGTCCTTAGATCATTGTGCATTGACATTTCGGAGTATCCCATACCCCATTGTCCCTCCCCTGTTAAAGTTTTACAATCAATAAATCTTTATCCCCTAGACTGTTTAAAGGAGAAGAGTGACCAAAGCTCTCCTGGCCCTACTTCTCCTGGGAATCACAGGAGTGCACTTCGTTCTTCACTCCTGTGACCGGTATTCAGCCAACAGAGGGCTAAAGCCTGCTGTTGGCTGAGGTCACTCTGCTAATCCAGACTCTGGAGACATCCAGACTTTAATGTCAGGATCCACCCAGATGCCTGGACCAGCAGCTGACTCAGCTTCTCAGCGAGCCACTGTCGGTGTTGAGGCGCTGGGGGGGACGCATCGATCGATGCTGCATCCACCTAGGTGATTATGTATGTTTGTTTTTTCATATCCCGCACTTCTCTTTTAATGAGTGTCTGCACTGATTTGGGAAAGAACTAGTCAATTACAGTGGCCCCTGCAAAGGTAGTGTTACACAAAATAAAACGTACAAAAAAAAAAAAGTTATATTAAGAATACTGGTACTTGGTTAGTGTGATCTCAGGTTATCTTGATTCTGTATCAACAGTATGGATAGTCCAAACCAGAGACTGCTTGATATACAAAATCCAAATATATTTTATGCTGTATGGTGTGAGTCACACTTGTTACTAATCTAACCACATTTTGTGGTGCACTGGAAGGATAGGAATGTAATACCATCTCAAAGGCTTTCATTTACCGTTTACACAACATCAATAGTAAATGAGAATGTCTAAAAGAGAACATTCACACCAAATACCCATGTCATTATTATATACAGTATGAATAGCTGCCTATCCTTTTTTTGGCATATTACAGACACAAACCAGTTATTATAATTGTGCTGATGGATTTATATCTCCTAAAGCAGGCTTTACATTCCCATACAATTCGCTGGGAGTGCAAAACCCACTTTAAGCAGGTTAAAGGCCAATCAGTAGAAGATCAATTACTGGTCAAATGTACCCATCACTGACTTCTGAATGATTGCAGAAGTGTCCCAAACTGATGTCATCAACACAAGCCCAAAGCCTGTTGATACAAGTCCTAACTCTGCAGAGCATGGGTGTCACTCTGTACCTTATTTTACAATGAAAAATAAACAGTGTGAAAAGGTTAGGGTACATCCAAACTCCAATCCTTTTTTTAGCTGTGAATAGAATATGAAATGGATAAAAATAAGCCAGTTTCAACATTTTATTGCCATCTATCTCCCTGCTGAGGAGATTCAACCTCAGTATGTATCTTATAGACCAGGGGAGGGCAATTGTGGCCCTCCAGCTGTTGTAGAACTACAAGTCCCATGAGGCATTGCAAAACTGACAGTTACAAGCATTACTCCAAAAGGCAGAGGCATGATGGGACTTGTAGTTCACCAACAGCTGGAGGGTCACAGTTGCCCACCCCCTGCTATAGACCATTGTCATCACAAAAAAAGTGATTGAAAATCCAGAATTTTACAGTTGTTACCCAAACAGGAGGTGAGGGGAAATCTTCCAATGGGACATCTTTTCTGGTTGGCGACTGTCTAATTAAGGATCAAACCTAATTTTGGAGAGGTTTCCTATCATTTGCTGTTGTATCTCCAGAATAGGAAGTAAAGTAAAATGTCCCCAACGGCTTGAAGACAAAAAAAGCTGGTGGGGTTTTAACCAATTTCTATTTAAACCCAAAAAAAAAAAAAAAAAAAAAAAAAAGAAACACATTTCCCACAACAAAAGTCTTCAAGGTGGTCACGTGATAAACCTGAATCCCTATTTGTTCTCCTCAGCCTCACCAGTGGCCGATCCTCTGCTGAACTCATACTTTAAAAATGTTTACTTTATAGGTTTTTTTATGTCATAATTTGAATTATGGTAGCTTATGTGGTCTATTTTCTTATTTCTATATTTTTACTGTCACTTTTATTAATAGTGTTTTGGTTTTTTTTTAGCATTGCTTTATTTATATTATAAGTGATTTGTACATTTATTTTTCTTAAATGGAGGGAAGGGACTTTAACCCTTTCTCTGGCAGGTCCGTATGACATACGACGACGTGACAGTGGAGGAGGGTTACACACAATCCGGTGCAGCCACCAGGATTGTGTCTAAAACTGACAGGCAGACTCCTGTGACATGGGTGCCGGCAGGTGGAGGGGAGAGAGGAAAGTGGATATGCATCTGCTCTGCTATCCTTCTTGCTGTGACCTGTATGACTGTACGGGCTTTTGAAGCGTCGCTTATAGAAAATATAGGGTACTGAAGTTTGTCACCATTTACAGGCGCATGCAAATTTAAGGTTTGACATATTGGGTAACTATTTACTTGGCACAACCCCATCTTTTATATTTTACCAAAAATATGGGTAATTTATTGCGTTTGTTTGCCCTAAAATTCACTTTAGTGTGTTTTGTAGTGAAATGTTGCATTTCCTAGACCTTTGCAGTAATATTGTGTGTGACATAAAAACTTGGAGCTACCACTATTTTATTCTCTAGGGTGTCTGCTTTCAGAAACTATATAATGTTTGTTGGTTTTGTGTAATTTGTGTGCAAGAAATGCAAAAATGGCCCTGGCAGCGAAAGGGCTTAATGACAGTAAACTTCAAACTGAACTCAGTTTACTGTCTATTAAGTGTTCTTGCATGGCAAGACCACTTACTGTTATCTCACATATATATTCTTATTATAGCCAAATTTACCACCCTAACTCCTCCCACAGTTTTTATACTACATAGACAGTAATATACCGAAACGTGCGGATTGTTCCCGATTGGTGTGGAATGTTTCGCCGAATGGTTCACGAAATATTGTATTTGTGGTGAAATTCGTCCCATAGGAATGAATGTCGGAATGTTCAAAACTAGAGTGGGAGCTGAAAAAGCTAGGACTGAAAAATCAGGACATGATTTATAAACTGCCATCACTCCCTCATTTTCAAGCCCACCTACATACATCTTATATGAAACCGTTCAGCTATCCCTGCTGCCACTAAAAAAGTCCACGGCTAAGCCATAGTCCTGATAGTTTTCACAATATGACCATTTGTTTGCAACTCACGCCGCCTATTGACATTCATTAAAACTCCACTGTAGCCACCTCAAATATGAAGGGCAATTTCTAAACTGCAACTGTGCCTTCATTTTTAATATTTCAGAGACACTATGGGGTTTATTTACTAAAGCTGGAGAGTCCAAAATCAGACTCCCTTCTGCATAGAAACCAATCAGCTTCCAGGTTTCATTGCCAAAGCTTCATTGAACAAGCTGAGGTTAGAAGCGGATTGGTTTCTATGCAGAAGGGAGTCTGATTTTGGACTCTCCAGCTTTAGTAAATAAACCCCTATGCATCAAAATGTAGGTCTGGGTCTTGTGATTCTCACAATATAAAGCTCTTCGGTGTAGGATTTATAATTTTTTAAACTACAACAGTTTGAAGATGGCAACCGCCAGTGAAGTGAGCAAGTTGGAGCAGTTTGTTTTTAACCGCTCCTCTGCCCTTGTGTAGAGGTAGTTGCCATAGGAACCCAGGTGTGTGAGCGTAATGTTTACTATCTTTACTCACACTCCACACAGTTACTCTGCCCACTCCATAAAGTTACTCTGCCCAGTCCAACCTTTTCACAGTTACTCCAGCCACTCCGACCACACAACAGTTACTCAAGCCACTCCACCCAGTTGCTCCGCCCACTCCAGTTGTAGACTACTTGTGGAGGCAAGAACACTTCACACAATTTCCCCAGAAATTGTAGCTTTTCTAGCTTATCATGTTGTTTCATTTCAAATCCTTGTATATTTGGCTTTGTATTATTGATATATTTTACCTTAAAAATTTTTTTTATTTTTCAGGAAGGGACATTTATTTTACTTATAGCAGATGAATAATTATCTGTCTGTGCTCAGCCCGTCTACTTAGTTCTCCCTTTGCTTATTAACTGATATGTAGTGTTTGCTCCAGTATCCCTTTTGATGTAGTTGTCACTAAGTAACAAGTGTCAATTACCATGCAGTAGAGTTGCCTGGCAGCAAATGACAACAGAGCCGAACATTCTAAGGAAGAATAGTGACAGTGGAAACATTTGTTAGACTATCCTCTGTAGACACCACTGGCTCTCTCAGCCTCCTAGCATGGCCAACTATTCCGTCTACCACAATGCCAATTTTCAGTCATTTGTTCGGCATGACTATCGTCAAAGTACTCCTGTACAGACAGAATATGAGAAGATCAGACACAGAGCACAGCTACAGCAAAGTCATCTGGCCAAGAGAAAAACCAGAAGTGCCACCGTGTATGCTGGGGAATACAGGAGTAAGGACCTGGATGAAAACTGTCAGCCGGTTATGAGACCCAGCTCACCCACAAGGATGAACAAACCTCACCCGCCTGAGTAAGGTGTACCCTTCACTGTTGCATGTGTGTGACAGCTTGTACTGTTTTAGAAAGGCAGAAAATCATTTTCACACTAAGAAGGGGTCCCACAGTGCAATGTGCATCACAAGCAACAAGGATTAGGTATAAGTAAGACTGTTATCAGTCTGCTATAATTCTACGTGCCATTAGCCTAGCTAGGAACTAGAATACCAAGGAGGGTGGTACTGTCACCAGACTAGTTGAGCATTGTGAACATTCCATGCAAATTCTAACAAGACATGTTAGAATAGAAACCAATGATGACATGTTCAAAGATAACTAAACCCAAGAACAAAATGTTGATCTGTTGCAAATTACCAGTTACCAGTGGTGACTGCATTAGTTTTAATTTTTCAGGCTAAAACATTTTCAGCAAGTACAGAAAATACCCATTGATGCAGGAATGCAGTATTATTGTCCCTTCTTGTGAAGTGTACTGTAATCTCTCTTCTGTAAACTACTAATCCCTTCATCCCCCATGTAATTGACATGAACAAAACCAGACATATTTGAAGCCCACCCTGGATGACAACCATGGTGGCTGTAATAGATACAGTAGTGAAAAAAAGTGTGGACATGAAGAGACAGGAAATGTGTCATTAGGATAATTACAAGGTGAAAGCAAATGAAAAGGAAGTCCTGAAAAAAAGAAAACTAATGAGGCCACTTCCTCTAAGGACTGGTGAGCTGCAATATATTATATTTTGGATTTAGAAACAGTTAACTCCAAGGATGATACATTTTGCAGATTTACATTAGGTCACCTTGGTCCAATGTAAGCATGTGTAGCGCTACCCCATTAAGGACCACTGGATTTTGCTAAGCCATGGGTGCCCAACCTGTGACCCTCCAGCTGTTACAGAACTGTCATGCCCCATCATGCCTTAGCCTTTGGGAGTCATGCCTCATGGGACTTGTAGTTCTGCAACAGCTAGAGGGCCACAGGTTGAGCACCCATGCCTTAAGCTCTGCACAGCCAGGCAACATGTATTTTCCACACTTTCCCTCAGAGTCAGTAAAACAGTCCTTGAGCTTGTTTTTGTTGTTTATATTAGGGTTAACAAGTTGGATAGGGTCCTGGGGTATATGTGATGCCCAAGGAACTGTAAAACGTAAGGACAACTTCTTAGCAGAAAAATTTACAAAAATGCGGACCAGAATCAACAACAGTCTTAATAAGGAGAAGGAGGCCTGAGTCTCCTTTGGTGTACCTCCACAGATCCTAGATTAAACTTTCCTTCATTTACCCGGGTGTCTTGAGGGTATCTCTGGGCAAAGGAATCCAGAATCTACTGAGAAGCAGTCACAGATGAGAACTTGTTGGGTATTGCACCTGACCGCCCTCTCACTTCTGTGTCCCAGGGGTTATAGAAGTACCTTTTCCTATAGCCTAGTGGGTTGCAGCAGCTTTCAGGCCTTACGCTGGCCTGGCTCCTTCCCTGCTGACAGACTGTCCTCCCTAGGAGATTGTAGGGCAGTAGAGATCCTTCTGTCTGCTTCAGCCTGTAGGTAGGCCCCCTCCCAGGCTCCATGCTCCAGCACCTTCATTCAGTCCATCTTCCACCTGGTTCCAACTACAACTCCCCTACTGTTCAGGCTCTCTCACATTTAAGGCCTGTCCTAGTCACCATGTCAGGCCTCCTACCTGGAGATTGGCCAGATTCCCAAAAACATGCAAAGCCAGGCCTTCTCTCCTCCTCTGAAAGTTCCAGCAGTTTCTAGAAGGGTGGGAGGGCTCCAGAAGCCCTGACCTGTAGAGCCTCCCAGCCTGGTTGAGGTAACCTCATTGTCTCACTACCAGGTTGACTCATTCCAGGCTTCTAATAACCGTATGACTAACCACTAAAATCCTATCTACCTAGAGGGTGCTACACCTGCTTATGTGATACCTAATAGGCCTCTGTGTAAGTTGTAAATCACTGTGGAAGCCTGAGCTACTACAGTGATGGCCACGATCTTCTGGGTGCTGTGACAAGCAGCTGCATATTGACCAGCTTGACACAGCTGCCATTTAGAGAATGCCAAGCATTCTTCTCAATGAGAACTAAGTGTTGAGAGGGGGTCAGTGATGTCACAATCTTTACCTTGTCCAATCAGAGAACCCTTTGCATCCCAAGCTGGAGCAATGTAAATATGCAAAATATATCATCCCTGGAATTCATTTTTAAAGTTCCCAGTTATGATAAACCTATCAACTCTTTCTTCACCACTTCCACCACTAAAAGGTGAAAACAACAAATATTACAATATTGCAACAGCTTTTCTTGAGGTATCAAGAATAGGTGCCTAGAAGCAGTAATATGTCCAGAAACGTTACACAGGCTATTTCCCAAATGTTACAGTTACACTGCATAGCCAGATACGAGGGGAAACCTAATGCACCTGCAAATAAAACTGATATTAGGGGAGCAGGAGACAATGGTCAGATGAATAACAGACATAGAAGGGGATTGGGAGTGGGGGGAAATATTTTAGGAACAGAACTGCCTCATTAATAAATTTATTGGTGGTTTAATGCACCCTGACACTTGGTAGGAAGTACATAAGTGGCAATCATCTGCCCTAATGTCAGATTTGAGAGAGAAAGTCCACTGTGGGCTCTCTGGACTGTTGGCATTTGATGTCATGTCCACATCTATGCAATTTCCTGCTTCTTGATTGTCCAGGCCATGGTCCATCCAGCTACCTGTGGTAAAGACAGGATCTTCACTAAGTGTTGTGTTCTCCTCAATGATCCATTCTCTTCTATCTAACTATTACCGTGCTGTTTCTCTTGGTCTGCTAAACATACCATAGATAGTGTTTTGTTATTTCTAAACCACAAGAAAAAAGAAAAATGCAAAATTGGATTTATCCAGAGCTGATGCCTTCCCTGATCCTGTCAGAAATTTTGTCAGCCAGTAACTTTCTCTCTCTGTGTTCTGCATTCTTATTAGGTGCAATGTTCCCAGCTATCTAAAAGAACTACAAAAACCCTCCCTCTATATTTGGAGAAGAGGAAAGATGAGGTCTTTGTAGTCCTGTCCTAGGGTGACAACCAATTGCTCTTTCCATATATACAGTGGAGGGAGTAAGTGTATCCACCCAGGGACAGGAAGTATTTGCCAGTGTCAGGTAAAAAAAATAAAGGAATAAGCCTTAAAACAGAAAACTAATGCAGCCACCTCATCTACAATACATTTTGTCTTTGTTCTTGAGTTTACATATGCGATAAGACTTGTGGGGGTTTATTTACTAAAGCTGGAGAGTCCAAAATCAGACTCCCTTCTGCATAGAAACCAATCAGCTTCTAACCTCAGCTTGAAGCTTTGGCAAAACCTGAAGCTTTGGCAATGCAGAAGGAAGTCTGATTTTGGACTGGTAAATAAACCCCATAGTGTCTCTGATATGAAGTTTCAGTTTAGAAATGGATATTTGAAGGGAGTTTTAATGAATGTCTAGATTTGGTCATATTGTGAAAACTATCAGGACTATGGCTTCTCCAGCTTTAGTAAATAAACCCCGTGGTGTCCATTGCTCCTTGAGGGTGCACCAGGTACTGCTGATCCAGCCAAATAAATTCACACATGCTTCAACTGCCCAAAATAACAGGTGAGCAGGCGTATTATTAGCAGAAGAGTAATGCTCTACTTACCCTCTATGATTTGCCTAAGCGCTGTGCTATGGGATTTGAGAGCAAAGCCTATATGTCCACATTTTAATGTAAAACTGCCTATTATACATGTATGTGTTTGTGTATAGATACTGTATATCAAAGATAATTTTACTACCTGATGGCCTGAGGTGGGTTCTCGCAGGGTTTCATAGGTGCTGCAAGCAAGGATATCCAGACAAAGCTTGGTTGTGCTGTGTTGTTGTCACGCTATAAGGTCAGGTTCAGAGACTAGTTGCTACAGCAGTTGTAAGGCTTACCTGAAACCAGCAGGATAGGTACACCAGCGGCCCACCCTGGGAATGACGCAAGCTCACCTGAGGTGCGGGGTCTAAGCATCAACCGGTCTTCCCCAGAGCTCCTAATGGTGGAGATGGATTTGGCTGCGTGTGAATGCCAGGTCGCAGATCTCAGGATCACCCCCAGGGAATGAGTAGGCTGGAAACCAAAAGCGGATCAAACAGTTCAGGGATCAAACAGAAGCGGAGTCAGTCACAAGCCAAGGGTCGGTCACCAATGGTAGTAGATAGGATGAGGCAGAATCGTAGTCAGTAGCAAGCCAAAGGTCGGTAACATAGATGAAGACAGCAGCAGGAACAGTAAGCGGGATATTGGCTGGTAAGGCACAATAATCTGGCAACCAGGAAGTGCAGAGACATGGCTTTTATAGGAAGTTCATGGGAGGAGCAAGGAGTTCAAGGTTCAAGACAAAACAAAGGGAAAAAGAATTGTCAGGATCATCCAAAGAAGAAACACTGTCAAGGGAGCTGTCCAGCATTCCAGGTTTGGCTCAGCGAGAAATGAAACACTGTCTCTCACCTGCCCAGAAAGGCCCAGGTTGCGATTTTGTTTGGTGTACAGGTATTCTCTGACAGTTGTCAGGTTGTTGCTTTGGGCTTGTCCCGATGACAGTTTGAAGACACTAGATTGAATAAAGGACAAAAGAACTGTTCACAAATTTTTTTCTTCTCCACAGAATCACTTAGGTGTTAATACATTATTTGCTTTCACATGAAGTGTACCTTACTTAAGTCTTCAGTCTGAACAATGAATAACAACCTTTGAATCAGAAGACGTGAGCCTCAGTTATCTCTTAAGATTTAGTAGATTTTTTTTCTACAGAATCACTAGCCAACTGATATTATAGCCAACCTTTGACATGCTACAGAAGGCATGTCAAAGAAAATCAAAATCATTCCCAATTCTATACTGTCCCCTTCAGGAAATTGAAATCAATTAGGAAAGAAAATGACACCTCGTGTGACGTCATAATTAGGCGAGATGAGCTATGCCCACCTAGGTTTATTTGGAGGGATAAAATTAGGAGACAGACAGAGACAGACAACACATCACAAGAGAAGACAGGAGACAAGGGACAACACAGACAGACACACACTGAAGTGAACTGACTGAAATCTGACATCACTGACACCATAGACTCCATATTGGTAACTATAACTTTAATTTTCTTCAGCTAACTTGTACTCACATATCTCCAGCTAAACTGTTTAGTCTGCTAATGGTTATGGTTAGCACAGGAGTTGATGTGAAATAATTTTAAATGCAGTATAAATTAATTTCATTTCAATTCTCTGGGGAAAAGATTTTATTTTAACCACTTCTATACCGGGCGCTTTTACCCCTTTCCTGCCCAGGACAATTTTCAGGTTTCAGTGCTCTCACACTTTGAATGACAATTGAGCGGTCATGTAACACTACCCAAACTAAAAGTTTATCATTTTGTTCACACAGCTACTGTAGAGCTTTCTTTTGGGTGGTATTTAATCACCACTGGGGTTTTTATTTTTTGCTAAATTAACAAAAAAAGGCTGAAAATTGTGAAAAAAAACCCAACGTTTTTCTTTGTTTCTGTTATAAAAGTTTGCAAATAAATAATTGTTCTTCATAAATTTAGGCCAAAATGTATTCTGCTGCATGTCTTTGGTGAAAATAACCCAGATCAGTATTTATTATTTAGTCTGTAGGAAAGTTATAGAGTTCACAAACTATGGGATATATCTAAAAATTGATCAATCCTGAAGTACTGACAGCCAATCTAATTTCTTGAGTCCCAAAAATGTCAGAACAGTACAGATATCCCCCAAATGACCCCTTTTTGCAAAGTAGACGATCCGACGTATTTCATAAGAGGCATTGCAAGTTTTATGAAGTTGAAATAATTTTTGTCATAATTTTTCGGAAAATGAAGAAATTAAAAAAATGAAAGTTTTTTTTGTTGTGATTAGCTGTGATTGGCCACGGCTAATCACATGACACAGATGGGCTGTGATTAGTGCAGCCTGTGCATGTGATC